AGTAGGGTATTTTTTATTCATTTATTGTCCAAAATTAAACGTGACATGGCCAACCTCAAGGGCACCGTACCCCGTGGGAGCTCGGCATGACATAACCGGAAGACTTATTTGGATAATAGAGTTAGTTTTGTGTTATAGACTGCTATTGAGTTTAGTCGGCAAGCGACGGTGTTCTATCAATAGAGAATGAGCTTCTCTCTTGGTTCTATAAAATTCGTCATTACATAAGGTCATATAAATCAGTGAAATTAAAAAGACTGACCATAGAAGTCCAGGCCCTAGATGATACAGGACCATAGACTCGGAGATAGAGTTTGTTTTTATAGAGCTACTCTCTTTGCTCTAATTGATGTTATTTTAGTGTCTGCAGGCAGAATGGTTTACTAAATTGCCTCGCCAAAGTTCTTACTGAAATGGCTAAAAAATTGCAGTTACATAAGCCGTAGTTAGAGCTAGTTTTCCATGTCATAGTAACGAAACGAATCGAAGGTAAAAAATCCAATCGCCTGGGTATTGTTTGAATGACAATTTTCTTACACACCACGTTATAATTCTTGTCGGGTTTACTGTGAAATATTCCCTTGGCAAAATACATTTTGAAACTTTACCTTTGCAGTTGATCTTGGGAAAAGATGTTAACTTCGCCTCATAAACTTCACAATACTCGATGGTCCCCTCAGACAATAACTAACACAGTAAACGGGTCAAGCATTCCATGGCAACTGAACGATCACTAACAATTGAATAATTCTGGAATGTCACGCGCACACACAGAACTGATGTCACAATGCTCTCTTACTGGGCGCCGCGTCAGACACAGAGCAGAAAATCAAAGCGTCTTATTCATGTCCACTTTCAGAAGACGGCTTTAAACTTCAAAATATGTTCTACTGTAAGTTAGGCCTCACTTTTTTTTGATAATGAAATTTTGTTAACAGGTTTTTAATTGTTTTGCTTTTTACAAAGAGCTAATTATCACCAAATTCAAGTGTTTTGAAATTACTATGAAACCAAGCGTGAATGAGCTATTGTAAAAGAGACTGTTTAGAAGAACATTAGTTTCAAAGTCTGATCAGTTTGATATAAAAACAAGATTTTTTTTTGTCAAAAATGATTAATTTTGTAGTTGTCCGATTGGTAACCAAAGGTCATGATCATGGTATAGGGATGCATGAACCAGAAGCTACCGAATTTTTTCAGAAGTGCATTTTAAAATGACCACACAAAATATTTTTTATGGAAATGAGACAAAAATAACAGACAACAGTGAATTTGACACAGTGGTTCCCTTGTGGTATTGGCAATATATCCCACCACACTGTATATGACGCAAATTGCTATCAAATACCGCCTGTATGCTCTTGAATATCACTCTTTTCTCTTGAATATATGTTTTATTTCTAAAAGCTTGAAAACATTCCTTTATATAATGAGTTTATTTTTTGTTTTCATTTGCATTACAACCTTACAGATCATGCTTTGCCAACCGCGTTTTTTGTTTGTTTTGTTTTTGGTCTGGTTTTCTTGTTTTTAACTGAGTGATTCTGTCATTTTCGGGAGAGGATTGTAACGTTTAGTTATCTATCTGTCTAATCCTCTCCATAAAATCAGCCTCTGGTCGGGTAGGACCGAGAAAGCCGCGAAAATCTAGCCTACGGCTAATCCTAAGTACACCTCCTCTGGCCAGGATCATTTTATATACTATCGGAAATTCAACACAATTTTACTTTCTGAGAAAGTCGTTTAACTACCAGTGTGCTTTTTTCCCGTTTCTAGAAAGTAGATTTATGAAACGTAGACGTGATTCAAATTTTCACCTTGTGAAAAATATTGTGAACAAAAATGTTGGTTCGGTGATGAAAACATACCAAAAATGATCGATTAAGCGCCGCAGCGCTTATTTCATTTTCTCTGTTATAGGTGCGGGGCTCATACGAGAGCGGTGCTTATTTCAACTACGGCTAAAACACTGAGGGGAATATAGAGAGAATTAAGAGAGGTGCGTACTTGGTGTGCACAATGGCATAAAATATGTACACCTCGAACTGTTATATGAATCTGGTTTCAAGAGTTTCCCTACATTAAAACTTTAGAACTCACGAGTTGGTCGAGGTCTTATTTCTCAAGTGATATCTAGCGCCGTAACAAAGGTGGGGAGTCAATTTTTAAATACCTGTATTAGCACAGCGGCGCTTAATCGATCATTTACGGTAGTCATAACATCTGACTTAAATCCCGGGTTAAAAATAATCAGTGGCCTTGAAATATTATTTTAAGTCATAAACTGTTATATGTTAGCAAAATTGAAAATGAGTTGGAACGTCGGTTTGTTCGAACACCGTCTTAACTCGGTTTTCCTAAACGGTACTTAATTTTTCAACCCCAAAGAACGAAAACAGCATAATGTTCGTGCCAAAAGAAAAGAAAAAAATCTTGAGACGAAAATTGAAGTTAGTGAAAAACTTTTTGTTTTACCCGAAAGGCTTTATAACTAGTGCGCAATCTTTACTAAACACGGGCCTTCAACAAAGTCATCTAATTACAAATACAGCCTGTCGAACCATTGATCCCAATAATCAGTGAAGGGTATCACGAAAATGTTATAAGCATCGTAGTGGAAGACAGTCTGCGGAAACATTTCAGTTCAGGTATTGTTCTGCGTTTTTTTTTATCTCTGGAATGGAAACAGTTCACAGTCTGACGTGCAACACGAATCAATGCAGAATGAAGCCTGGCGGAGTTACCTGTATCAAAAGAAACTGTGTTGTTGCGTTGGAATGAACGCGAGCGCTAGCGCCTTGTGAAGGGCGTATGCTTTGGTCGCATGTGTACGATGGTAAATCTTAAGTTACCTTGGTTCTCTGTGTCCCTCTGGTGCCGGCTTAGGCTCAGCCAACTGCTCGAGTCTTGCGGAAATGTTTGCTTTCAAAGCCAGCGGTTTAACCTCCCACAGAACAGAATTGCGACCGCAGCTAAACGTGTATTGTTCTCTGAAAACGGGAAAAGTAGATCTGTGAGGCTAGGTACGGTAAGCTCGAGTGAGTGATTTAAAAAAGGTTATCGCAAACTTCCGTGGAACATTCTTTTCAAAAACTTGCCACACGGGTGAAGTGTGCATGGTTGGAGAGTCTTTTAACAGACCTTTTTTCGAGCGCGCGTATAAAAATTAAAACTTACAGCGGGGAATTTATTGACTTCTCGGGCAGGTGGTTGGGATGGGTAAATGAGAAAAACATGAATAAAATAAAACCTCGCGCTTCGCATTCACTCACGCTCTCGTTGACTTCCTCAAAGGAAAGGTTATGGAATGATGGAATGAAATGTATAGTTAATCAGGAAATGAGCTGAATTCAGCACCTGAAAAGTGCACGCAGGCTACAATGAAACAACTTCAAACTGCTACTTGATTCTTCTTCAAAGAGAATTAATAATTAAAACGTTTGGCTTTTTTCCAGGGCCTTCTTTCCTTACTAGAAATTGATTTAGTGAGAACGACAACGGTTTGTGACACACTCTGACAGACTCGCTACGATCATGGCGTGCTCGATACCGTATAGACTAGTAGCTTTTTGCATGGTACATTGTTAGAATTAATCCCTAATTTTACCGGCTTTGTATAGTACCTGTTACACTTGAGTGGATGATCTTGTTGGAAATCTTTCTTCGGCGTTGCTAAGGCCATTAATCTCTCTGAAGCATTCGCTGATAGCGCTGCTCTAGACATAGGCCACATCGTTTCTTGGTTTCCCCAAACAAGAGGCCTAAAAGGCAAATTCTATTTTTCAACTTATGTTGGCTAAACAATCAAGCCAATTAGCACTCTATTAAACAGTGTCTTTAGCCTTTTCACAAAAAATGCCATTAGCGCGATATCACTACATTAAAAATAAAAGTAAAACTTTAACTTAAGTACAAGGCATTTTTAACAGTATACGCTAAATTTTGTCATTTTCTTCAACAGTGATCCTTTATTCAACAAGGTAACAAACAACAACGCTTGATTTTGAAGAAAGGAGAGAATACCCTTGTTTTCAGATAAAATGTGTTTCATACATTTCAATGATCATGAAGAAAAGCTGAGCGGAAATTTTCGAAGCGCAAAGCGCTTAATCGAGAATAAGTTAGTTATCTACTCATAGGTTACATATTCAACTAAGCCTTTGAGGGAACTTTTCTCATTACATACTAAATTTTTGCATTATAAACACCAGTACGCCTTCTATGTAGTTTCCCTTACCAAAAGCTTGTCATCCATACAGCCTTGGACTCCTTGGGTTTTGCAAGTTTGACCAGGCGAGTGCTGTTAAAACAAAAAAATAAATTATATCTTCAGAAAAAAGGAAACCTGATCGGATTGTTTGAGACAAATCAAGATCGAATTGAACTGGAAACCAAAGCAAATAGTTACTTACATGCCGGCATCTCGAGTGGCCTCCGTGAAGTCGGGTAGCGGGTGATTCACTCTAACAACTGCAAAGAAAGGAAAACACGAGACAATGAAGATCTCTGCATTCCTGGTGAAATCAAGATTAAGTAGCTAGTTCAGCATTTCTTGGGGCATCCATTCATACTTACATGCCACTTCTGTCATGTTTACAGCAGCAGTTGCAGCAACAGAGAACTTTTAAACAGATTGTAAACAAAAACCGTGTGATACCAGGTGTTAAGGTTTGTGACAAGAGCAGTCGCTGTCGTAAGTTAAAAGTTGTAAGGAGCGTAGTTTGTTTAGTGTCAATTTCGCTTTGGTTATTTCTATTCGTCAGCTTTGTGCTGGGGTTGTCTATATTCAACACAGCGTCGTGCTGTGTTTCCATAGAGACACCACATTTAAAACATGGTGCTAATTAACGTTGTCCGACTTTGCATTGCTATCTGGATTGTGATTGGACAACCATTAGTCCTGTGAGGTTTCAATATCTCAATTGTATTGTCTTTGTTTTAAGTAAGCCACAATAACAAAGGGCGGTAATTGTATGTTGATCCTGGAAATTGTTATTCAAACAGTCCTACAAACATAAATTTGTTAAGATAGGTGAATTTGTGCACGCAAAAAACAGGCTTCCCGCTAGTAGCATCCTTGAACAATAAACAAAAGATAAAATAAAACAAGACGAAATTAACTACGGGTATTCGGCTTAAACATTAGCTACCATTAACTGCAATGAGACAAATTCTAACAGGGGCACCCAACGAGGATATAGTTCAAAACCATTGTTGACAAATTCAAACAGATTCTAATGCATATTTTATTCTGTTTATCTGGCGATAGAAATTTAGTGAGAAAAATGATAAAAAATTTGAATGAATTTTATGCAGGAAAAGTTTTAACACGATGCCTTTTTGATCAAAATGTTTCAGTATTTACCATTTTTAGAGAAAATCCTTGGAGAAGACTCAAATACCCGAAAATTTAGATCTCAAATTGTCTTGGAAAGAACGAAAAGTTTACTGATTCTAATGCAATTTTATTCTGTTTAGTCATAGAATTTTGAAATTGAAGATAGCAAGTTTTAGCACGATGTTAGTGTTTCCGTATTTCAAACAACTCAAGTACCTTAGTCTCTTGCTTGGAAAGAACTAGTTTACTGTAAGAAATAGTCATCATTGTGCAGATAGCAAGTTAGCTACTAGTGATTCCGTATCAAACAAAACTTCTTCGTCAATAGCCCCCGGGCAGGCTCACTTGTGCTCGATAGTTCTGGGAAAATTTTGGCGCGCGAGGAAGTCACTCAACTCCTCGCGCGCCAAAATTTTCCCTGAACTAGCACAAATGAGCCCAGGCTACTTCGTTAAGTAATTCACTTGTGGCTACAGAATACCCAGTATTCTATTTGTCAAATAAAACGCGGTCTAAGGGAAGACGACATAAATAGATCACAAGATGCTAAAAGCATTTTCGAAGAGACCAGCTGAACACGCACAAAAAGCTAATTGCCTTTTAAGCTTATACTCATCATTTAATTTAATCAAGCTTCAAACCACTTCGAAAATTAAAAAGCGCAAAGCATTTAATCAATAAGAAAATTCTAGCAAGGGGTACCAGATACCCTTAGTTATGTTATTAGCACCCGGCTTTTGAAACTCCTAATTTATAAAGAATGATGAGCTCATTATCGTAACACTGTTGCTATAGGCAACGATCGATTCTGCAGTTTTGATGTCCGATGATTAACACGAGTCTAACATTGCATAGAAAAACCTAAGGCCTGTTTCAAACGTCGTGCTACTTCTGTGCTAAGCTGGCTAGACTGTAGCTCGTCTGCAGCACAACACTAGCACGACTTGATTTTAGACGTCCAATTTAATTCAGTCGAATAGAACGGCCGTCCCCGAAAACAAAACACAAAAATAAAGAAACAGTTTAACAAACTTTTAAACATATTCTGATGTATTTATAATTTATGAATTGAGTTCGGCGCGGCAGTAGCACAACGTTTGAAAGGGGGCTAAATGATGCAAGGGTGGATTTAGACGCTCCCTCAACTTTTCATGACAAAAGTGAGACACTTTCTCCGCCTAGTCACTCTTCTTAAGGGGGAGAGTCTGGTTGTTTTTTTTTGCGGGGGGGGAGGCGGGTGGGGATGGGTATTAAGAGAAAAAGAAGTAAGGGTAGAAAAAGGTATACGAAAAAAACAGTTAGTCTACTGAAGGTTCTTTATCGTCAGGGGCACCTTGTTGTAGTGGTGGACTATCTCGCATTTCTCTACTAATTTTCTCCTTCATATTTTAATTTTTCAAAAACCCCAAATCAATATTTTACAACTTTTCTTAATTCTAAACATCCTTCCCTCAAATTTTTAATCTTTAATTTATCAAAACATTCGAAAAATAACCCAAACATTCTGAAACATTTATTGAAATAATGACTCAGACTCAGTTTTTTGATTGAATGAAATCTTAGCTAGATTTAGGACAGTATTGAACGAAAAGCAAGGCTTTAAACCAAAATTTCCCTCAAGCCTGTCGTCTACGACAACGGTAATAAGTATACTCTGCTGCGGGATGAATTATTACAAGGAAAAAACACTTACCATGTGGTAACTTGAGTTTCTGCTGCTTCTTTGCTTTCTTTATTTCTGCCAGTAAGGAAAAAAAAATCAGTGTCATTAGCCACAATGACAAAGCGGTGTAACCGCGCGACTGAAGCACTTTATACTGCTATATTGATATCTAGCATTCAATCTGTATCAGCAGGACTGACTACTAACTGATGTTGTTTCACACTTAAAAATTATTGCTTATTTTGCAGTTGCAGATATAAAGCTTCAAGGTCTAGACAATTTGCTAATTATAAAAGGTATCTCTTATTTAAAAAAGGTGCAGGGATTGCACAAGTTGACGCAAGGTATCAGGACTGAAGAAACGGCCACACCCTGAGGTTGATCCACTTGAGGATTTTGCTGCGGTCAATCACGAGAAGAAAAAGTGGCATCATAGAATAGCGAAGTTATTGGCCAAAATGCTTTTTAAGGGTAGAAAAGGGATACTGTAACAGTGTTTTTAATGTAGTGCGCTTTTCAAAAGGTATCTTCTAAGGGAAAGGGCTCTGAAATCTGGTAGGAGCATCCCCGCATTAAACTTTGTTACTCCCGGATTTCCTTACCTTTTGGCGTCTCAGCTCTTACAGATAAAGCGTAAGGAGAGGTTGCACCAGAAGTCACCGTCTGCGGCCGAATTAATGGTAAATGCATTCGTTCGGTTTCAGAATCACTCTGTTTCTCGTCCCTCGCAGGTGTATTTCTCTTTGCTTTTGATGAAGACTTTCTTGGCTCCCTGTTCACCGGTGTTGGCTTCTTTTGCACTGGTGTAGCTTGTTTAACTGGCGATGGTTTAACTTCTTCCTTATCAGGGCTGGTAGCCTGTGGACCGACAGCTGTGCTCTCTCCGTCTAAGAAACAGTAGTGACTCAAATCAGCTTAAGACTGGCTCGTTTCTCAGCGAGTCTGGTGTCCCTGGCAACACAGTTTTACTAAGCGCCAGCGCACTATCGAGAATCATGTTTCCTAAGCTCTTTTTACTCAGGGGCACCTAACGACTATTTTCGGTGAAATATCTGTCAAAGGAGTAAATGTTGTCTAGAAACTTCTATTGCAGACGAAAGGCTAGAAATTTTTGGATAACCGTTCCATTCGTCTAAAATATTCGGAGTTTTAATATTAACCTCCCTACGATTTTCGGGAGTGGATGTTTTACATTTTATTCCAAGATTTGGCGATTATTGGTAAAAAAATGGCTAGTACTTGAAAATTTAGGTATAGATAGACAAACGTTGTCCTCTAAAACTTTCTAATGAAAGTATGTTTACTCCGCGCTCCTTGCAGTGACAAGACCTGTCGGGATAGCTTAAACTTTCGAGACGGCCAAAGTTTCCCTTCAGTAAACATCCGAACAGTTTTTAGAGCTGCTCCAAATTGACGAAACAGACTTGTAAAGCATAGCGAAATCCATTTTAGACATTCATGACTTGTTTAGAGTGTTCTGGTCGTTGGGTGCCTCTGTTAACTAAACAAACAAATAAATTATTACATTGCTCTTACAAAATTTGAAATTTCGTATACAGATCATTTGAACTCTTTTTGTCAATATATCCCAAAAACACTCAGGAATTTACCGATTTTCAAGTATCTTAGTAGCTTTTTCCTTGGCAACGTTAGTCTTCTATTCCATTTAAAAGGGTTTATAGTCTTCCAGTTTATATATGATCAAAGGTGAGAAGATTACTCTTGGTTTGTTAGGCGAATCTTCTCCAATCCAGTTTTTGCAAAGGATACTTCTTTGAATTCGTACATTATGCCTTAACTTACGGTTGCAATTGTTAAGTTGGCATAATAATATACAACACATTTTTCCAGTTTAAAATTACCTTCCGTTTCTCTTGTAATTGAGAGCATTTCTCTGGTTTTAGTCAACTAAATATTTTCCTTGATGTAGACAGCTGTTCAGCTGTTTAACGGGTGACGAGTACTCTTCAATAAAACCAACCGAAGGCAGTTGAGTTTTGCCTCTCGGGCATAACGTTTAAACATTTAGTGACCTACGTATTTTCTCAGGCGATTCCATGGTAACAGCGATTCGGATGTTGTAATTGGAGAAAGTACGTGGAGTTCAAGAACTTCATTTGGGCAAGAAGAAGCGATGCTTGGCGATGGTTTGATAGTTAGATAGAGTGATTGTTGTTCTCTTAGATCTTTTAAAAGTGAAAAATAGTTCTACAATACTGAGGTTTCGTTTAGGCATGAGAGCCTAGAAGAATAGTCCCCTAACCACCACAACTCTGTAATCCTACTGGTCCTGCATCTTCCCCTGCCGTGCGCAAATTCCGTGGAATTATTTGTGGTTTATGAAATCAGCATGCAGAGTGACTAAGTTCAAAAGTAAACAATTTAATCTAAAACTTATCGCTGCAGTAGATGATGGTGGTGATGGCAATGTCTGTCGCTTGAAAGCATTCAAACACGTTTTTATGAGTTGGAAAAAACCCTTATTCCACTTCGACAATCTACTAACTTCTCGCTGAATTTTTTTTCTGCCAAATTGAACTCCGCTTAAATTATTGCGAATAAATTCATGAGGTTTTCATTTAATTTGCGTGTAACTTACCATGGTCATTTTCAACATCCTCAACTCTAATTTGCGGGCCTTTTTCATCCATTGACGATAGTTTTATCAGCCGTAGATTCTGGCCTCAACTTTACTTCTTTATAAAGTGTGTTTAACTTTCGACGATTTGATGTCTTAGAAACCGCTAATTGCACAGATTAACTGTTCTTGACCAATAAATCTTTAATGACTGGCGTTCTAACATTTGCATGTCAATTCAGCCCTAAACGTTACGGTTGTTAAATAAATTGTCGTAAATTATGAATTTGCATCAGTGACACCTCTCTTCCAAATAAAAATTTCCCCTTTTTTCTCTTTGAAATATAAAAGAGACACTATTTTTCAATACGTTCTAGAAAAATTATTACAGCACCTCTTTAGGTTCTAAAACAGGGTTGTGAGGCAGACGAAAAGCCTTAACAAGGTAGCATTAGAAAAACGTTTATTTTGTATCGTATATTCGACTCTAGGGTTAACAAGGCACCTGCAAAAATCTTCAAATTTTTGCAGAGGCTGCCGACTGAGGTAGTTGCCTCTATAATTTTTTATTTTTGAAGGCTACTGAAAAAACAAATGAGGCAAATGAGTGTTCATGTAACGAAGAAAAAGTTCTTGGAAGTAATAGCAAATTTGAGACCATCAAAAAAACTATCTCCATGGTAACCGGAATGTAACTGCGAAAGAAGCTTCACTATACACCTGTTTCGTTACTGGGAAGGAGTTTGCTTCTGGTATGACGGATATTAAAGAATTGGGCGTATAAACAAACAACAAATATATTTGAACTTTAATTGTTTTAAAAAGTTGTTGACAAGTCCCGAAATTCTTTCACCATTGCTGATGTAAGCCTGGCCTCCATTGAGAGGCCGTCGTCACCTTTCGGCCCATCGCTTTGAGTGGTTCTTATTATCTGTAGCTCTAATAAATACCGCAAGAATTCTTGACGCCAGTTCATTTATTATATTTGTATGCGGATGATGGTCTTTGATTGTGTTTTTTTTAGATACAAAAAGTACATGAATTGACAGACAAAATTCCCCACTCCAGAAACTCTAGGAAGAATGGGTGCAAGCGTTGGGCGTAGAGATATCTGGGATCGTTTGGGTGGACGAGCGTTAGTTATGATTGGTGGATGATATTCAAGGCAACGATTAACCAATCATACGTAGTGCTTTCCCACCCAAACGAACCCAGAAATCTTTGCGCCGAAAGCTTGTACCCATTCCCCTTATGGTTTCCGGAATGGGAAATTGAAGTTAATTGGTTGTTAGCCCGGGGAAATAGCCGACATTTCGCACCCCCACCATTGATTTCCCCGCGAAACGAGGGCAGAAATTCCATACTGATGACGTGTCACTTCCAAGATCTGAGTAGTGCTTCTGATTGGTTGTCGATTGTTTTCTCAGTCTAATTCGTCATCTGATGGATCAAGAGAGAATAAGGAGACAGAGAGGGAAACGCCCAGTCTTGCCCTTGGGATATGTGAATTTTTACCCAAAGTTATTTTTAGGCCAATTAAACACTTGAAATTTAAAATCCGAAGTTGGTTTCCGGAGAGGTCCGCAAACTTTTATTCAGTGTTGAATAATGGGACATTAGAGACTTGAAGATCCAAAAAAACGCGAACGGCTATGAGAACGTCAAAAAACCAACGGATTAATAAGCAAAACAACAACTTTGCACGTGCATCACCCTTTTTTGTACATGTCTTTCCTGTTTTGCACGACTACGACGTAAAAATGTCTAATTTCGCGTTTTAAGGAGGACATAAACAAGCAACGACGGAATTTTATTGCTCTTTCTGAGCTTGAATATGGTCACTTGAAAGTCAGCTGCAGGAGGGTTCGCCTACATTTGACAAAGTAAGTGGGTAGGAATAATCGTTAAGACTAATATAAAAGAACGTCAATTCACTTTTTAAGCGACGTCCTTGTCGCCGTCGCGTCGTTGGATCTTAAAGTCTTTATTGACGGGACTACGCGTCAACGCCGTAAGATTCCCTCTCTATCCCATTATTCTCTCTTAGATGGATACTTTTTCTAGTTGTTCTTCTATATTTCTTCTTGTCATCACCATTTTTCCTTCATGCTTCATATTTAGGCTGGTCTTTTCTAAAAGATGACCGCTAAACGTATATTTTATTCTGTGTTTTTATCACAAAGGGAGTTAGTAACATATCTACTGACTTTATTTGTTAGTGAGAGGGTGATGGCAGGTTGACTGGCCGACTTCGAGTAGACACTCAATCCAACAATATAGAGATTTTCAATTAAAACTAAACCTCTATTTAAAAGGTCAATTTAAAAGTAAATACTTACCGGTACTTGATAGACTCCACACAGAAGTAGGTCGGACAGACTTAATACTCGAAGCTGCTAAGCTCAGATAACTGCTGTATTCTGTTATGGCAGATCGCAGGCTCGGGCTGCGTTGAAGGATCAGACTGATAGGTGTCCGTGGAGGGAATAACGAGCCTCGACTGGATGCGTTGCTTTGGTAACCAGCATAAGTTCGGATTGGTTGCATCCTGGGCTTTCTTGAAATAACGCTTACTTTGCTTGAAGCACTAGAGGAAGTTTTTCCACTTTTGTCAGATTTACTTGATTTTACAGTGGACACGGACAATGCACTCGTTAAAGAAACTCCACCATCGATTGAAGGTTTCTTGTGTTGTCTAGTAATCGGTCGAACAGTCGACGCGGAACTAAGATACGTATCATTTCTATCTCTCCGACTGCGTTCCTTGCGTTTCAAAACTCTTTTACGTCGATTCTTAAAATCATATAATTCGTCGTTATCTGTTTCTTGTCTTTTTCGTTGTTTACTTTTAGATGACATTTCTGCTCTGCTACTTTTGCCCCTACGACCAGACCTGCTTGCAGATCGATTCGCTCCTCTTTCTATCTCGAAAAATGACATCACCGCTTCCCTATTCAAGTCAGGGACAGATTTGACACGCTGTATGGTTGGTATCTTTATAATCGAACGAGTGCTCATCCGAGAAGCCATCTGACTGCGACTTACTGGTCGCACATTCGAGAGGCCAGGAAGTATCGTTAATGTAACGCGACGTTTCCTAGCTTTTTGAAGGTCAGGTTGGGATTTACTTACGGTTTTATTAGAAACTGCGGGCAAATGTGGCACTTGAGAGCGAGATTGGGTTTTTGTGGGAGTTTTTCCTTGCTTTTTTTTCTGTTTTCTTTTAAATTTGTTATTTTCAGGCCCTTCGCTAATAGTGTAACCAGCCGCACTGAATGTACTCCATCGTGTCCAATTCCTCACTGTCACATAAGAGCCTTTGCTTTGCACGCTCGTGGTGCCTTTTTCGCGCCTGCTCATTCTACTAAGCGCTGAACGGTTGCGACTCGATTCAGAAAGTTCCGATTCATTGACTTCAATTCCAAGTTTCTCTCTTTCTTTTTCCTGTTTTACTGCCATTTTTTTCATGCGGAACTGATTAATGTTCAGAATGTAAGACGGTGCAGAACTAACAGTGGACTTGACGCTAGCTCTTCTCTCTGTCTTGGTCGTTTTTATGGATTCTGGCCTGCTCCGGACTGAAGCAATGGTCGGAATACTGCTGGTGCTCGCATTTAAACTGCTGGAGTAGTGAGTTCGAACACTGACAGGAGTCTCTTGTAATCTTTTAAAGTCTGTTACAGTTCCATTGGTATCATCCTCGACTTCATCCTCAACTTTAACTTCTTCCTCATCATCATCATCATCACTATCGTCACTCTCATCTTCACTTTCACTCTCGACACTTTCATCATCACTATCCTCGTCATCATCATCATCATCACTGTCGTCATCGTCGTCATCATCGTCATCATCACTACTTTCTTCCTCATCGTCAGAGGCGAACCGTGGGTCCTCATCTTCGCTATTAGTTTTGTAGTCAATGCGGTCACTTTCGTCATCATATTCAACCCTTACAATATGTGGAGTAGGGTTGCTTTCGTTCCGACTCTGTCCATCGGGGTTCCTTCGGACTGATTCGGGTCCTGGTCGGTGTATAGGCAAAGAAATCTTCCTACCAGCTTGCGAGGGATTATGAGAATTGACAGCTTTTTTAGCAACTACATGATGCGACTTGGTATTGAGGCTGTCTTTAAATGCACTAAGTTGTGAGCCATAAGACTGAATTCCTGAGCTTCTACCATCACCTTCTGTTCTTTCATTGTATATTTTTCTCGTAAGGGACTTGCTTTTCCTTTTTTTCTCTTGTAGTTCTTTCTCAAACCTCTTAAGGTTTTCACTGGTAAGCGAAAACTGTTTCACGGTGGACATGACGTGACGTTGTTTTCTCCGTTGTGAACATTCATGCTGCTAGAATTCTTTTTTCAGCTTCACATTCCAGAAAAATTGTCGCTATAAAAATAAAAGAAAAAACTTTTTAGACACGAAATACTACAGTAAAACTACCAAGAAACCGTTTGCGCGAGGGAAGTGTGATTCCATCGATGCTGTTGTTTACCCCATACCATTTGGATTCCTTATTAAAGCACTTACTTTGTGATTTAAAATTTTCCTACCAAATATGGATTCTGTGCATAGTAAGTTCCAAGTTGAGCCTAAAGAACACACGTGCAAAGCCCAACCTCAATCAACAGGAGAAACACGTGAACCTGACTCTCGCTTTCTAAGTCCCTTGGCATCGCTTATTTAAACTCTTAGTACGCAATTACGTTAAATCAGTTTAAAGAACTTTGTAACATTGCGCGCGATTTAGGCTCTGTGTCCACACTAATGCGTTTTCAAAAGTATGCGCTTCCGTTGTCATCGAAAACGCATCGATTGATTCGCGTCCACACTACCGTTTTGATGCGTTTTCAGGCTGTTCACACTAAAACGTGGGAAAAGGATAGAATTGCACATTATGACGTAAGTGGACCTCTATGCGCATGCTCAAAATGCACGCCCCTGCGATATTTTCGAACACCGTATTCATTGTGATGCGTTTTTGACCCTTTTCGACCATCCACACGAATACGATATGTATTTCGATGAAAGCCCTCATCGAATGAGTGTGGATGGAAGGCCTAAACGAATCGAAATGTAAACGTTTTCAAATGAAAACGCATTATTGTGGACGGGGCTCTAAATTCAACGAAGATTGTAAAATATGTAACTCTTATGATGACGGATGTAGCGCGGTCGAAACATGCTTGTAAATTAAAGACAGCTGTATTGTTTCTGTGACGATCTCTATTATCTTGTTGCTGCTATCTAGACCTTTTTGATGAATTTATACCGGTTCCTTCTTGGAAGACCGCTCAATGTCAATTTCTATCCATCAGGCAATGTCAATTCTTAAGCCGGGAGATCAATAAGGTCTTTTTTTTTATCAAATTTTCTATTCGCTGACACTCTCTCTCGTAGCTGGCGGGATTAGCCGACGAGTGCTCTTGTTTGTTTGCTTGTTTGTTTGTTTGTTTTCTGTTTTTTTATTTGTTCTTAATTTTGCAGAAGAGCCGTGACAAGATTGTAATCAAGTCATTGGAAATTTCGTCCTCTGGCTTCTCCGCCTGCTTTGAGTAGCAAGTCTGCCACGAAACTGTACCCCACGCATGACAATTTCGCTAGCTACGTACGAGTCGGCACAGGGGCAATAACACTTTAAATCGCCTGAAAATGAATCACAGGGGAAAACGAAGTCATGATAAGTTCAACACAGCGTGGTGGCAATACTTGACTTGAACAAATACAATATGGAAGTTATTGCCTAAATAACAGCTGCCATTTTTCTCTCTTGGATTATTTTAACTCTGTATCGAGATCTGAAAACAAGTTGCAGAAAGAGTTTTTCTTTAACTTGTTACTAATACTAAGACTGCTGACGTGTTAGCTTCATAGCAGGACAAATAGAGGTTTATCCTTCAACTTGCTCATTCTCTCAGTGTTTGCCTTTCTCACGGCGCTCTTAGGCCCGGTTCAGACGCCGTACTTTTCATGAGCAAAAACTAATTCGAATTAAGACCGACCCAAATTATTTGGACCGGTTGAATTGATGCAGACGCCGATCTTAATTCCAGCCGAACTAAATTCAGGAGAAGAAATATGCTCATTTCGGTCAAACTGCTTAGAAAATACGTTATCTAATAATTTATGCATTAGGTTAGGTACATGAAAAGTTTGGCGGTCTGAATCAAAGCCGTTCCAAAGTCGCTCCAAAGGCGAAATTCCTGGCCAGGCCAGGCGAAAAGAACGGCTGAGCCGTTCCGAATTGAAACAGGCGTTCCTAATTGATTCAGACGCCGAACTTTTCATGTACTCAATTCAATGTATTATTAGGTTCGGCTCATGAAAAGTTCGGCATCTGAACCGGGCCTTATTTACTCTCTCGACTCTTCACTTCATAAACAGAGTTGTCAAGTTATCTTTTTATCCACAGGAACTAAAACTAAGTTGAAAGCAACAGTTTTGTTATCGATGAGACTGCAGAAATACTGTCTAATTTTTAAGAAGATTTTTAGATTCATAAACAAATAAAAACTAAAGAATGATATAATGTTTCCACGTTTCGGGGACCTCATGACGCCATTATTAAAAAATGAGTAACTTAGCTTCCTGTTTATTTAATCAAGAGGATTTGAACTCGTCTTGAACTCGGCTTTATTTACTAATCCCTTAATAATGGCCATGAGGTCGCAGAATATCTTTGATTAGTTTTTATGTGTTTATGTACGTTTGAGGCGAGGGAAATCAGTACAATATGCCACAAACATTTCCATACTAAGTTATTGCTTATCTTCACAAATGCATTAAAAGCATTATATCCAGCTTACGTGACTGAATGTCGTCTTTCCGTTAGAATGAAATTCATACCGGTCAAAATATTGCTTTCCTCCTCAGAAGTTAACCAAAAGAGACAAATTCTTCGCGTGTTCAGAATACAAATTATCTTGCCCGTCACATTTCAAAGTTATTATCATGACTAAGCAGAGTGTAATATAGCTTATAACCATTAGATAAGAACACAAAGTAACCGGGTAATTTAATAGCAAAAGCACTTGGACTGAAATAAAAAACTTATATTATTGGTGCAATTAAAATTGATGTGTAATTTCTGAATACATTTTAGCAATAATAATGCATAAAGTGATATCGCTTCACGTAACAAACACCTGGCAGGTTCTTTTTCAGCTATAAACCTGCCAAATTTTTCGTTTCCAGCGTGCAGTAAGCAAGCCTCTTGAACGAGAGTTAACAACAGGCTTAGTAAATTGGCATTGTACATAAACAGATAAAACACACATCTTTTAAATAAATAGGAAACTCCACTTGTACTTTGACGTGTTTTTTAACATTCGGCTTATCTAAAGAGAAAAAAGTTGTCTCTTATTACATTTTGACCATGTAAAGCGAAGTGTCAGAAACTGAATCGAAATCGAAGTCTGGCTGCCTCTCTTGAAAAATATATTAATAACTTGACTTTGCCCCAGTGTGCAAATGGTAAATTTATCAAGGAAAAGCGTGTTTACATTTGCTAATGCAAACAATGTAAAGTAAAGTAAAAATATCTATTATTTTTGGCCAGCCGCGTTGAATAAAATGGTTTACATAGCTCAGTGCGCAAAGATATTTGAGAAACGATAGTTTTTGAAAATTCTTAAGTTTTAAAAAAGCAACGGGATGTTAATTTTCCTTGTCTGGAAATGTTTCGTGCATTTTTTTGTGATGAATTGTTACGGGAATACGTCAAATCACTTTCTGTCACTTGAAATAGATTGTGTCAGTCTAAGTAACTTCTCAAAAAAACTCTGAGAGAACTTGTAGAATTATTATAAGATAGCTCATCTTTAGAAATTATAATTGTTTCGATTCACTTAAAGAGCTTGCGAAATCAATAAGTAATAAATTTGCTAAGTGACTAACCTTAGGGCATACATGGCATAAAATATATCCAGCATTTATAACATATAATGTCTTTGAACAATGGGTAAAAATAGGTATCTCCTGCATGCAGGTTTTAGCCTAAAAGACAATGGATCAAGATATATGAAGTGGACACAGCCTCTTCGTAGTCTTGCGTTTGGTAAAACGCTAAATTGCCGGGTTCTTATCGTAAAAAGGCTTTACAGACTCTTAAGTGACTGACACCTAGAAAGCTGTCAAAAAATTTAAACAAACAGAGGAACTTACAAGCAAACCACTGCTGGAAACATCCATCACTTTGGCTAGCGTTAGAAAAACCCGACATTTTACTTATAATTCAGCATGAGAAGGTTTCCATGGTACAAACAAACTGACTTTTGTTATGTTAAACTTCATTAATGTCAATTACTTTCTGTGCATAAAAATTGCACAGTCAGAGTCGGTTTTGATTGGTTGATGAACAATGGCAGCAGGTGCGGTAGAGTTTCCTCCTCATAAAACATGATAAAAGTCAGAAAGTGTTCAGTGATTCATAATTCAGTAGCACGATGACTCTGTCAGGGCTTTGTTTTGTCTCAGTTACCTTTTTAAGCTAACTTTGTCCATTACCTCCTAACCTTTGCGGATGCAAAAATTGATTTAAGAGGATTTCATTTTGGTCGATATAGCAAAACAACAATCGCTAACCTTGTAATTCCACCATAAACGTTATATACGCACATAATCGTAAAAGGAGAATAAAAAATCTGAGAAAGTCCAAAAAGCTCGACGCCGTGCAAAACGTACTTCAGCATGTTTGGCTGGCTGCCGTTTAAAATCAGACTCATAATAATGGAAGAGTTATATTTATGCACAGCACGTAGGCAGCTCGACCTGGCTCGTGACCAAGTTGATGAATAGTAAATTAATAAATTTATACCGTTCATTTATTTATTCATTCATTCAGCCACAACCAGATTTTAGTTGCCCCCCGAAGGGATTTCGCCCAGAAAGCGAAGTCCCGAGGAGGCACTTTGGTAGTTCGCGCTTATATTTAGGAGAGTACTTACAGTTGAAATATACAGTCAGTATGCCAGAAAAAAATCTCGATTTGCTTGAACAGGGACCGCATGGAATCGTTGGGAAATGATGACGTTTCTATTGTTCGTGCCCGCAAGTACGAGATGGTTAGGATGACGTAAAACAGAAAATCCCGAAGGGACCGCTTAGGTAGATTTTGTGACATTTATTATACAGTCATACTTCGATACTCTTTTGTGTTACGTGTTATCAGTGACATTCTGTGGAGTAGCTTTTTTGAAAGTTATAGATCAAAAGACACTTGTTAAGCGCAGATGAAGTTAAACATTTGGAGAGTTTGCCAGACATGAGTTCACATATCTTTGATTGAAAATAATTTGCCAGACACTCTT